TCCTTCAACTCATTGCCATGTTCAAGACCCTCTGAGCTTTCAGAACCATGATTCAGGGCTGCACTGTCCAAATATTTTATTTATTTACTTATTTTATTTTATTTTATTTTATTTTATTGCTTACAACAAGCGTAATACAATATAATTAAAACAGTTTTAAATAAGGGGAAAAACTGTGGACAGGATGGGACAAACACTAGGAGAGAGGAAAAAAGAGGGAAGATTAGGAATTGGCTGAGGGGAAGGCCTGCCGAAACATCAGTGTTTTTAATTGATTTTTAAAAATACCCAGCGAGGGAGCCGCGCGAATGTCAGGGGGAAGGTTATTCCAGAGGCGAATAGCCACAGAGAACACCGTGGTGATGTATTACCTAAACAAACAGGGAGGAACCAACTTCCTCATCCTCCTCTACCTGTCAGGACTCCTATGGTAGTGGTGCATTGCCGACCAGATTTTCCCTGTGGCAACCCACATCTCGGCACAGATAATGAAACGGCAGACCGTCTCAGCAGCATGGTGACCCTCATGCACAAATGAGAGCTTTCCTACCAAGTGTACACTCAGCTAATCTCCAGCTGGGCAAGTCCACCATGACCATTTTTGCAGCTGCCACCAACTCTAAATGTGCCTGTTACTGCTTCTAAACAGGCATACTGTCACCAGACTGGACTGGGAGCCTTCTATACCCTGTGGTGGCCACGTCAACTGCAGTTTACCACTCTCCTTCGCACATTGGCTTAACTCTGGTGGCAGAGGGTGGGAGGGACGACACTCGCGTGAGAGGAATCTTGCTCTCATCATCAGCCTTACTGCTTTTCAAGTAAAAGGCACTCTCAATTTCTTCTGTTAAGGTCTACCTGGCAGCTTTAGTAGCACACCAGCAACTGATTACTCATCTTCACATCTCTTTAAATACCAACTCATTGAAAGGTTGGACAGTACAATAAATTTGCATGTTTCATTCATAAATAATGCAGAATATTATATGAGTTCATATTCCTCATTGTTACCAACTGAATTAGAGAATTATTAATTATTTATTATGAGGTTTAAGCCTTATAAAACAAATGACACTTTTGTTTTTCTTTTCTTCTTGCTTACCAAGAGGCAAATTGCATTCATTTCTTCTCGTTTTACACTGTTTTATAAAAGCTTCTTCTATACAATATATTAGTTACCCTCATTTGTTGAAAACATGTTTCCACATCTATTTTGTGGTATTTCTTTGTTAATTAATATTTTAAGTAAACATAACTCAAGTGGCAATGTAAAATGCATTTCCATTTTCCCTGTTGTCTCTACATAATGAAAGAATTTTATAGTCTACTTTTTTCATTGTGAAAATTGGCATGAAACTCAGTAAACTACTTCTGCCATCTTATCAGTTCTATTTGTACCAAAACAGGCAAGTTGTTTTGATTTTGTAATATAAGCAGTCTTCACTGAATACGTTCCCAATTATACTTTTGCTTTTAATGCATTTCTCTGATGCATCTTTTTAAAGGCAGTTTTCAATTTTAGATCTTTCAGGTCAAAATACAAAAGGAGTATCCAGGAATTAAGAATTAATTAAAAATAAATAAGGTACAATATCTTCTGAGACCACAATTAAATTCCTTGTCCGGTGTGTAAAAGATATAAAGTTATAAGTCTCTTTTAGGGAGTCTGTAGATCAGGAGCCCTATAGAGGACATTGAGGTACATATTTCCACATGGAATCTGACACAAATAGAATAAATTGATACCACATATGACAAATCAGTCTGTCTTTGCTTCTCTTTGGATTTTTTTTCATTTTACCTCTATTCAAATAAGACAGTTATGTAACCAAGATCTGATACTGAATTGTTTAGTGCTTTTCCATCTCCACATAATTTCCATTTGTGTAGCTAGTAATAACATAGAGATTAGATCTTTAAATAGCAAAATGGCATTATCACCTGAGAAAATAGATAACACTAATTCACCTTTGAACCATACTGTTTGATTTGTAATCTATTTTATGATACCAAGTATTTGGTTCTGACAATTTTTTATTACTGGACATTGTATCCACATGTGAATTAGTGTTCACCTTTGCCTGCACTGCCTCCAACATTGAGGAAAAATGTTTTTGCTATATATGATAATTTTGTAAGGCTTAGATTCTAGCACTGGCTTATTTTATAAATATTTTCTTTAGCTTCTATAAACACTGATTTAGAAGGAAGGGATGTCCATATTCTTTGCCATTGTGTCTGTTACATGCTATTTATAACCCTCAGAAGACCCATACTTCTACACTGAATTTGATATATTTCTGAAATAATACCTTTCATGTTTTACTCATTTATTATACACTTTGCTCATATTTTGTTAAAGACTTTGATATCTGGTGTCATTTTTCATTGATTCTAGTAGTGTTTTTAGTTCTGGTTCATGAAGCCAGGTCACATTTATTTCTCCCATCATGTGCCTCAGATCTAACATTGTATTGAGTTTCCCCTTTGAAATAAATCTTTCATTCTGTATGATCTAATATTTTGTCATGTTCTGAGTTGCTCTTGTTTGCCTGAAGTATTTTGGGGAGGCAGTGTTAATGCCAACAGTTAAGTAATGTCTTACTTACTGCTTTTTACATACTAACATTTCATTAAAGTTGTTTTAATAAGCCCAGACTGTGTCTTGATTTTTTGTCAGAATTTTCCACGAGGACCATTCAATCAGTATTCAATTTATTATCATCTGAGATACTCAAGGCATTGTATATGGTTTACTGTATCATGTTTATTGCAAAACCAACACATCCTATGTCCAGAAAGAATCACAAGGAGAAAATTAGAGACTGAGAAAGAAATGTTTTCTCTTTTTGTTTCTAGTTTTTTTTTAACCTAAGTCAGCGTTTGCATTTTTTAAGAGTAATTCAACAAGCTGGAATTGCATTTTGACTGAAATGCAGAAATAGATTCCCTTGTTAAGGAACTATAGTGTATTAATATTTTTCTTACATTGCCCCCAGGGGCAGCCCTAATTAATAAGTTAACACATTACTGACTGAAAGAAAATGGATATGCACAATCCCCTGGGAAGAATTTTTTTTTGTAATGAGATGGGTTTTTAGAGGCCAGTTTGACTTCTGTAACTATTAGAAAATTACCATATTTTTCCGAGTATAAGACGACCCAAAGTATAAGACGAATCCCCCTTTTGTAACCCCAAATTAGAAAAAGTGGGGATCAAAGGGCTCCCTTTTTGCTCAGCCCTGTGCTTTGCCAAAAGGCAAGGAAAGCAGCTGTCAAAGTGACTGCCTCTTTTCCTTGCCTTTTGAGAAGGCATGGAGTTTAGCAAAAAGGGGAGCCGTTGCTCCCTATTTGCTAACCTCTGTGCCTCCTCAAAAGGCGAGGGCGCGCTGGAGCCGTAGACGGCTCCCCTTCCTTTTTGCTAAAGCCCCGTGCCTTTGCAAAACACAGTGGTAAAGACCTGCCTTCCATGTATAAAACAACCCTCATTTTTCCCCTCAAATTATTTAAGGACAAAGTATTGTTTTATACACGGAAAAAATACGGTAGGTGTTTTGCAGTTGGTTCCCTTCCATATTTATTGTTGAGCAGTTGCAATTAGTGTTCAAGATAAGACTATGTGCTTGAAAAAAATTGCGAATAACACTGCTCATGTTAAAGTTACAGTGATGGTAAAATTACTGCTTTAAACATAGTAATGATTTACAAGTGATTTAGACAGGTTGTAAGCCAATATTGGGATGATAATACACATTAGTAGGCATAGAATGCCATGCCATTCTCTTGGTGTATTTTTTAGGATTTAGAAAAAGATTTTCAGAAACAACAGGAATTAATGCTAGTTATAACTAGACTATGTGTATATCTGTGGGTAATGCATTTTATAGTGTTGTGGCCATCACAAAGAAAGCCCAGTTCCTGGTGATAGCTTTCTGGGTCTTTTCCAGGGTGATCACCTGCAAACATGACATCTGGCTGGACCAGGTGGCTCAGGTGGAAAGTCTTAGGGAGAGACTCTCCATCAGGTAATGAGGTCCCAAACCATAAAGGGCTTTATAAGTTAATATCAGCACTTTGAATTTGGCATGGAAGCATACAGGAAGCCATTGTAGACATGCCAGGATCAGCAAGATGTGGTCGTATCTTCATGCTTCTGATAGAAACCTCACTGCTGCACTTTGCATCTGCTGAAGCTTCTGTATCATCTTCTAATGCAGCCCCACATAGAGAACATTGCAGTAGTCAGTTGTAGAGATTACCAACACATAGACCAATGTCATTAGCGATTTCTTGTCCAGATGAGGCCGCAACTGTGCAATCAGCTGGAAAAAGACAGACCTGGCCATGGCCGAGATTTGCTGCTCCATAGAGAGTGATGGGTCGAGGAGCACACCCAGGTTATGAACCTGATCTTTTGGGGGACTCTGATCCCATCCAGATCAGGTAGAATACCTCCTAAAGTATAATGTATTGGTGGCAGTGGGGTAGTCAGGAGAGCTTTATTGGATGTCCTGAATTCCTGCAGTTGCAAATACATCCTTTTCCAATGTATCAATAAAGAGGATTAGCAGACATACCATGTTCCCTGAAAATAAGACAGGGTCTTACATTAATTTTTGCTCCAAAAATGCATTAGGGCTTATTTTCAGTTAGGTGTTATTTGCATGGAAACAGAGTAATAAGGGTTATTGCTGTTCTGGATCTTGAAATTTTTCATCACTTTGTTAGAAAATGTGAGTTAATGATGAGTTAATTCAAGCCACATACAACACTCATATCATAGATTGAAATTATTAAAATTTTAAAATTAATTCAGGTGCTCTAAGCTGATTGAGAGGAGAAATGGAATTTCCTCCATTAAAAAAACAGATCTCAAGTGAATTTAACAGTTCTTTTCTAATTGTCGTTGAGCAAGCATTAGAAGAATGTTTTTTCCCTAAACCTGAGAACATGGCTTATAGACAAAACACTCTCATTTTTCATTTGCTTTTTTTCCCTAGGCAACCTGTTATTAAAGGGTCCCTTCCACATCCCTTTGCTTTGACCTTATTTGGGGACACATTATACTGGACAGACTGGACAACTCGCTCTGTCTTGGCTTGCAACAAATATACTGGGGAGAATCTTCGTGAAATACATACCAACATATTTTCTCCCATGGATATCCATGTGTTCAGCCAGCAGCGGCAACCCAACGGTGAGATTCCTTTGTCTTTTTCATTGCTGACACGGATTTTTAGAGGTTTAAGGTTTGGCTTTATGTAATGGAAGGAAAATGTTAGGCATTTTTATTAGTACAGATTATAATGCAATTATTCAGAATTCTATTTATTTATTAGTTTATTATTTATTAGTTTTATTTATATGCTGCATTTCTCCCAACAAGGGATCCAAAGTGGCTAGTCTTTTAAAATAATGTATCTGCTTCGATATCAAAGTAATCTGTAATAAACAAAAATAATCATGTGCTAACTTCAGTTTTACCGTGATGGCCCTCCTTCCACTAAGTGAGCTTGCTGGTCACCCATTTGAGTGCATTCACAGAGACCACGAAGAAGAGAGAAGTGTAATCATGGTTGTTCGAGTGGTACTCTGTGAATCCACACATCCTGCCCATCCTCCCCACTATCCGTCACGGTTTGCCTATAGCTTTTAATTATCAGAGCCTTGACAGCGGCAGACATTCGGAACTGAGGTACCGCGAACGGGCGGAGCATGCGCACCACGGGGAGATGTTTTATTGGTCAGTTAGTTTAGCTCTAGAATACTCCAAAGAGTCCTGCACAGGCGCAGTTTAACCCATTTGTGTGGATTCACAGAGTACCACCCAAATAACCATAGTTACAGGTAAGTAACATCTCTTTTTCTATTGAACAGGAAACCAGAAATAGAATGTCCAGTTTCTAAAGTATTCTAAAGTATGATTTATGCCAGCTATAGTGTGAAGTGGCAAGCCATATTTCTACGTCTCCTCTGGAGGCCACTCATCCTAGAAATAGGAGAACTGAGCATATAAAGAACAGGAAAAAAAATTATAAGCTCAAAAACATAGTTGCTAATAGCTTAATTGCACTGAAAGTGCCAGTCTTGGCATCCAATGCCTGGCAAGTTACAGATTTGCTAAAACAATTCCCTGGCAGATTTTATTTGCCACACCATAAAATGTTGCTGGTTAGAGAAGAATGACTCTATAGTCGTCTGAGAAGATAAGAAACTATAGAATGCATTTGATCATTCAGGAAATTTCAGTAAAAAAGATTCAGAATTTTTTTCTTTATGTCACAGTCAAGGAAGCAGTACATAAGAATGTGGGCCTTACTGTGCTCCTATCCAGTACTTCCATGACACCTGCCTACAAGTAAGCTAGCAGAAAACTATCAGAAGAAAGCTTGGTCTTTGTTGAAAGGTTGAAACTGTATAAACAGTCCATAAATGGCCACAAGATCAAACAGATAATGTCAATTATCTAGGTTTTGTTTTTTAAGTGAATACAGTCATAAGAGCATGCCACTGAGAGAACGATGAGAATGCATCTGCCTTACCTGATCTTTTTCACACTAGGGGGGAGGTTATGATATACCAGATGAACTAAAGCTGTTTGGGGCCAATTCACTCAACTCAGTTTCACCTGAGTCATGGGATGGTGAAAATGTATGTATAGGCCATATCATGTTCCCCTTACCCCCAGTCATCTAAGGAGTATGATTTTCACTCCTAATTTGGCAGAAGTATTCTGGGAATATTGAGGACTGCACTGGGCCCCACTGAGGTTACATGGGGCCCACAAGTTGTACATTGGCCACCTCAGTCTCTGGAAATGGTATTTGGGTTCCTGCCTAAAAATGGAGAAGGGCAGTAAAAGTTAATATTGCTGTGGTCAGCTGGGAATTACACGTAATAACCTCCAACTTCCTCTTCCCACAGCAGTTCCCCATTCATATAATATATACATATTCAGTTCACATTGCACAATTGTACATGTTCTCTTTTACATTCCTTGACTGTTTCTGCCTTCCATGGTTCTTTACCTCAGTTATATGTGGCTCTTTGATCTAGAAGTTAATGTTAGCTGTTACTGTGGCAAGAATTAATTGTTTGTGTTCTGTGTTTCTGACAGCTACAAATCCATGTGGAACAAATAATGGTGGTTGTTCCCACTTGTGTTTGATGTCTCCCTTCAAGCCATTCTACCAGTGTGCATGTCCCACAGGTGTGAAACTGCTTGAGAATGAAAAGATCTGCAAGGATGGTAGGCTATATTAAATGTTTTTCAGAGAATAAAGTTAAAACTGGAAAACACATATGTTGGTACCTCCCTTGTTTACTTGGTTATTTGTTTGCTCTATTTTATTCTGTTCTTTTCTTGCTTTCTGCTTTTCTCCCCACTACAACCCCCACCCCCCACCCCGGTCCTCATCTGTGTGTTCCTTCTTGCCTTCTTTATTTGTAGCTATTCTGATTTCTTCCAGAGCAGAACTAGGTGACTTCAGAGGAGTAATTTGTGTCAATTCATGCTACCACCACCACATCCTGTAGCCTAGGATCTGCAAATAATTTGTCTGTTTACTTGCTTGATTTTCTGTTATATATATAAAGATAAAGGTTCTCCTTGATATTTAGTCCAATCGTGTCCGACTCTAGGGCACGGTGCTCATCCCCATTTCCAAGCCATAGAGCCAGTGTTTTGTCCATAGACAGTTTCCGTGGTCACATGGCCAGCGCGACTAGACATGGAACACCGTTACCTTCCCACCATGGTGATACCTATTTATCTACTTGCATTTGCATACTTTAGAACTGCTAGGTTGGCAGGAGCTGGGACAAGTGACGGGAGCTTTTTATATGTGGTGGGGCATATTTTTCTTTGGGACTAGAATTTGAATGTTTCTCATCTGTGGGCCATTGTTCTGTTTTTCATATTGTTACGATTTTGATAGATTCAGTCTTTGACGCCCAGAGTAGACTATCTGTCTAGATGGGCAGGGTATAAAACTAATAAAATAAATAAATAAATGAAATTTATACAGTGGTGCCTTGCTTGACGACATTAATCCGTTCCAGCGAAATTGCTGTAGTGCGAAATCGTCATCAAGCGAAAGTAAAAAGCTTATTAGAATGCATTAGAAACTGGTTAATATGTTCTAATGGGCGAAATACCTCATCGTAAAGCGAAGATCCTCCATAGGGCGGCCATTTTCTGCTCCCTGTAGATCGAAGAATCCATCCCTAACACAGCGGGTGGCCATTTTGGAAACCCGACGATCAGCTATTTTGATTGTCGTAAAATCAGTTCCCGAAGCAGGGAACCGATCATCGTAAAGTGGTTTTTTTGCTATCTAAACATCATTTTATGATCGCAAAAACCTAATTGTTAAGCTGATTCATTGTGGAGCGGGGTAATCGTTAAGCAGGGCACCACTGTAGTTTGAAATGGTACTGTTGGTATCTTATCTACTCTTAATGATTTCTTTCTTCCGTGCTATCTCTGGTTACAGTCTACAGTTCTTAATTTACAGTCACTTGAATTTAGTAATGTAAATCTGTTCTTTACATAGCTTTTAAATTAATCAGAAATATTATTTAGATTGTATTTTGGCACTGCAATTCTTTTAGTGATCTTCAGCTTTACTAGATTTTTTAAAATTAACAGGACGTATTGATAAAGCAGTATGATGATGATGATACAGTGAAAAATATCGATAGTTTTGCTGCTTTAAGCACTGGGATTTATTTGTTGATATTTTGATTTGTTTTATTTGGCGTGTTTGTAATACTGTTAAATATTTTAAGATGGCTTGTGTGCTAACAATGAAAAGGTAGAATAGAAATATTTTAAATACAGTAGCCATTAAGACATACAGTCATTGATGGATATATTATTTGTTCAATTGTCTAAACTTTATGCTAACTTTTTATTTTTGTTTATTTTTTACATTTCCAAAACAAATACAAAAATACAAAATACTTACTAATACTATCTAAACCACAATGCTTGCCCATACCTATGGGATCCTTTGGAACAATATTTTTAATACGAACCTCCTTTCCAAAATTGTATTGTTTGTTGTTTAGAGGCTTTCCCCTTTCCTTTTAGTAATAAAATTCCACAAATCTACCTCAAATAGCATAAAAAATATTTGAACTTATTTCCCCTCTTTTCATCTTAAGTTCAGTAGTCAGTTTATCATTTAATGCAATGTCCCATACTTCATTATACCAATCTTCTAATTTAATATCATTTTTATTTTTCTAGAATCTATCTATTAATATTCTAGCACTTGTCATAAAATTGGAAATCAATTCCTCTAAGCAATAATCAAGTTCTATCTTATCAAAACTTAACAAAGCAATTGTAGAATTGAATTTGATATCTTTTCCAAACATATCACATATTTCCTTAAAAATCAGTTTCTAAAATTTCTGAATCCATTTACACTCCCACCACATATGATAATACATGCCAATTTCTTAATCATTTCCAACAAGCCTTAGAATAGTCTGAATTCAATTTCACCGGAGTCATATACCACCTTAAACTAATTTTAAAAAACTTTTCCTTTATTCTTACCAACATTTATCTTAAAACTCTCAACTTCCAAATTTTTGTCCAATCCTCTGTTTTAATTTCTGTCTTTAAATCATTTTCCGAAATTGATTTCAAACCTTCTGCTTCTGTCTCTTTTTCCTCTTGTTCCAAAATTAGATTATAAATTCTATTTACTCCTTTCCTCACAGGATCGTTCTTCATGTCTTCATGTGATCATAGAAATTGTCCTTACTTAGTACATTCTCTCCATTTGCCATTAGTTTTCAACCATTCCTTTG